TGCAGCCCATTGCATTAATTTAGTTTCAAATACCAACTTGTTGTTTAACAAATCTAGAACCTACATAAAGTTGGTGCTATCCCATCAGCATAATATTTAAAACAACCTACACTCCACTGGTCAAAGTAACGAAAACAAATGATTGTTTACTTGATCAACAACATAGGAAATATCTGTTTCCCCTTCTATTGTTCATGTCACCTCTTTAAATGTCATATTTCATTCATTAGCCAATATAATCACTTACTCCGCATAAGTAAGCCTTGCTATGTTATCCCATGCATCTATTAAAAACATTTGTTTGAGACTTTGTCTCCTACTCACCCCTTAACATAGTACTATAGGAGACTTCCATCAATCCTGGAAAAAAGAAAACTCCCACTCAGAAGATACTAGATAATACCACGTTTCATTAAGTTCACTACACCTTCTACTATAAACCTATAACCCCTTTCTAGTAATTTAATCATCACAACCTGTTGCATTGATGTTTTAAAATATAAACCTATTGTTTAATAAATCCAGAACTTACTTAATCCATCAGCCTAATAGTAACAACTATCTCCCATTGTTCAATGTATCATAAACAGATTATCGTTATTAGAAGTAATGAACTGTCTGCATAACTCATTGTTGTTTAAACAAACTATAGAATTTAATAATAATAATAATACAATTATCAAAGAACGTTCCATATTCAACCCTCTAGATATGTGCTTCACATTATCCCAATACGTCCTACATATCTCAATATAGCCCAACCATCACTACTTTCTTTCACCCTCTTACAAAATCTATTATTCTCTATCGCTAACTTTCCATATAACGGTACTTTAACAGATTACAAATTATTTTAAAATTATAGTCAAAACAAACAAAACATCTATTCACATCCACAACATTCACCATCGAAACACCGTTACTCGTTGCTCCACAAAATCCACGATCCTTGCAAAGCAAGGTAAACAACTACTTCCATGTTGCATAGCAAGTTAATTCACCACTCTAAACATCACTAGTTCGCAACACTAACTAGCTAGCCCTTTCATACCAAACATTCAACCCCCTATGACTTCCTTCTCCACAGCAACCATTGATTATTGTATCCCTTACAGCGCTCTCCGCTATTACATTTATGTAACTATCTTTTCTGATTAGGCTCTAATTAATAAATAAATACTTGCTATAGTTGACAAGCATACATTTAATTCATATCCATATTCAATTCAATTGTCCACATTACAACTCTTTTCTCAGTAGTTTTTAAACTATGAACTCAATTTTACTCCCCCCACTATTCTTGTTGAATAAGTGAGTATTTACTAAAATTCCCTTACTTGATTACCTCTGCTCCGAAATGATAGATTGTTTTTATAATGCTTAATCCTATTTCTATGTGCTGTCCCCCCCCCCCCCTCCGTACGTCTACGTGTTTGGGCGCGCAAGCCAGCACTTATCACTTTACTACCTATACCCCTCCCCTCAGTCATAGAATCCTATAGACTGGTCAACAGCTTATTCTCCAAACTTCAGATAACCTCTTTCTCATTTTCACACGACTCTCATATCACATTACATATCACATATCACACTATTTCCCAACACACAATCAATATTCGAATAACCTACAGGAATATTTTCTTCTATTAAAGTACCCAGCTTTGGAATGTTCACCCTAGCACGTTTGATATCTCACTATGGTCAATTTTACCATAATCCTATATTACTTCTAAATTTCCCAAATGTAATAATCCCTAAGAGCTTGTCCGAAATACAATGTGTTGACGTCATATGATTACCCCCGTACACGTGACCTGTTCCTTTAACAGGATTTCTCATACCCCTCCTGATAACGACTCCGTTAGTAAATGAATGTCCACATACAGTGGGGAAAAAAAGTATTTAGTCAGCCACCAATTGTGCAAGTTCTCCCACTTAAAAAGATGAGAGAGGCCTGTACTTTTCATCATAGGTACACGTCAACTATGACAGACAAATTGAGAAAAAAAATCCAGAAAATCACATTGTAGGATTTTTGATGAATTTATTTGCAAATTATGGTGGAAAATAAGTATTTGGTCACCTACAAACAAGCAAGATTTCTGGCTCTCACAGACCTGTAACTTCTTCTTTAAGAGGCTCCTCTGTCCTCCTCTGTATTAATGGCACCTGTTTGAACTTGTTATCAGTATAAAAGACACTTGTCCACAACCTCAAACAGTCACACTCCAAACTCCACTATGGCCAAGACCAAAGAGCTGTCAAAGGACACCAGAAACAAAATTGTAGACCTGCACCAGGCTGGGAAGACTGAATCTGCAATAGGTAAGCAGCTTGGTTTGAAGAAATCAACTGTGGGAGCAATTATTAGGAAATGGAAAACATACAAGACCACTGATAATCTCCCTCGATCTGGGGCTCCACGCAAGATCTCACCCCGTGGGGTCAAAATGATCACAAGAACGGTGAGCAAAAATCCCAGAACCACACGGGGGGACCTAGTGAATGACCTACAGAGAGCTGGGACCAAAGTAACAAAGCCTACCATCAGTAACACACTACGCCGCCAGGGACTCAAATCCTGCAGTGCAAGATGTGTCCCCCTGCTTAAGCCAGTACATGTCCAGGCCCATCTGAAGTTTGCTAGAGTGCATTTGGATGATCCAGAAGAGGATTGGGAGAATGTCATATGGTCAGATGAAACCAAAATAGAACTTTTTGGTAAAAACTCAACTCGTCGTGTTTGGAGGACAAAGAATGCTGAGTTGCATCCAAAGAACACCATACCTACTGTGAAGCATGTTTTTCTGCAAAGGGACCAGGACGACTGATCCGTGTAAAGGAAAGAATGAATGGGGCCATGTATCATGAGATTTTGAGTGAAAACCTCCTTCCATCAGCAAGGGCATTGAAGATGAAATGTGGCTGGGTCTTTCAGCATGACAATGATCCCAAACACACCGCCCGGGCAACGAAGGAGTGGCTTCGTAAGAAGCATTTCAAGGTCCTGGAGTGGCCTAGCCAGTCTCCAGATCTCAGCCCATAGAAAATCTTTGGAGGGAGTTTAAAGTCCGTGTTGCCCAGCGACAGCCCCAAAACATCACTGCTCTAGAGGAGATCTGCATGGAGGAATGGGCCAAAATACCAGCAACAGTGTGTGAAAACCTTGTGAAGACTTTGACCTGTGTCATTGCCAACAAAGGGTATATAACAAAGTATTGAGAAACTTTTGTTATTGACCAAATACTTATTTTCCACCATCATTTGCAAATAAATTCATAAAAAATCCTACAATGTGATTTTCTGGATTTTTTTTCCTCATTTTGTCTGTCATAGTTGACGTGTACCTATGATGAAAATGACAGGCCTCTCTCATCTTTTTAAGTGGGAGAACTTGCACAATTGGTGGCTGACTAAATACTTTTTTCCCCCACTGTACTATTAATTCTCCTCCTCCTAATGCAAGATTGGGCTTGCCCTTTCTCCATTTGGGTAACTCCATATACCTCTCATCCCCGGTTAACTCCAGGACCTCCTTTGGGATTTGCTTCCCATGGTAGCTAAACTCCTCTGCTATTCTCTACTGAGTATTTTGTACAATATTTTATGCCTATTAACAAATTACTAGGTCTCACACGTATTCAAATTAGATAACTTATTCTTAGAATCTTGAATAATTATTTTATCACTTTTAATTACTTATTAGGTGTCAAATGATTTTATGACTTTTAATGAATTATTAGGTGTCAAATTAGTTGATGACTTTAATGTCTTATACGTTTTATCGTATATTCCTTCCTTGAAATAATTAATTATCGCTATTTTCGATGGATCATTAGGTCTCACACGTATACAACCTTATGATTATTAGTTAACACTATCTGTGACCCGGAGTTTGTAAGGCTCCAGTTTCATGAAACGGATAGAGTTATGGCAAATGTACAGTTGTTTATGACTTTTGACTTGTTTAATGTATCTATCTCACACAATGATAATTATCTCCCTTCCTGTTTATATTGTAAAGACTGTATCTTGTACAATCTCAATATTAACTAGTTTATTTGGTATTAGCCTATTACCTTGAGTCAATCGTGGACCCACTTCCTTCCTTTTTATCTACACCCTGTCCCCCCGTTTTATATCTATCTAGAATACTGGCGCATGGTTTTCTCTAGATAAACGTCAAAAAACGGTTATACCGGATGGATTATCGACGGATTACTACCCTCACTACAGCAGATTTAAACTGTTAATTTTTTCCTACTGCAGTTTCAAGATATCAATTCCCCAAAATCCATGAATAAAAAGTACTGACCTTATCCTTGCAGGTGGGATATCAATCTCAATTTTGGTGATCTCGTCACCATTTCTGTCATCCACCAGTTTGCCACCGGCCTGTAATGAACCCCCAATATCAGAGGCCAGGTCTTACTACTATCAGAGGCCAGGTTCCCTTACTATGGAATGCTCGTCCCCAACAGTTTCTAACATCTTCCCTGTTAGTGGTTCTATTTTCTTATAACTCTAACACAGTTTACACATTTACACAGTATTGGGGTGAAATCCTTTAGTCATTACCTTAAAAATACAAATTCATCTATCAGAAAATCACCTGCTATTGAAATAATGCTGAAATTTGCTTTCCTGTCAGATGTTGACAGGGCTGCAGGGCGGTTAGCGCATTGCGCCAGTGAACGAAAGGTTGCTAGAACGTATCTCCAAGCCGACAAAGTGAAAAATCTGTCGATGTGACCTTGAATAGGGTTAATAATTCTAATATGCTCCATGGGCGCTGTACCACTATGGCTGACCCCTTTAAAACTACACATTTCACTGCACCTATCTGGTGAATGTGACAATAAAAAATAGTTTATTTGTTGTTGTTTTTTTACCCGGCCCAGTAGCTTTCAGTTGGCACTGGACCTGTGTGCCACTGGCAAATTTACCTGAATGTCGAGCCCTGCTTAGTAATCACCAATGTTTGTGTCCTGTCTTACAGCATATCCCCTGATGGGAGCACTCTAACCCTGCGAAGTCTGAGGCCTGAGGACTCTGGGACTTACACCTGTCTGGCTGTCAGCCCTGCTGGCCAAGAGAGCAAGATCTACACCCTCCTTGTACTGGGTCAGTTGTCTTTTATCTACCTGTTAAACAACATATGTCCTAACTAAATGACTACTGAGCTTCCCAGAGGCTATCTGGACTCTTGGTAATAATTATTGTGTAATTCCCCATAGTGCCCCCCTCTATCTCGGGTGAGACCAGTGCCCCCAGAGAGGTGCAGACCACCCAGGACAGTGTGGTGACCCTGGAGTGCCAGGCAGCGGGTAACCCTCCACCTCAGATGAGCTGGCTCAGGAATGGACGCCCCCTGCTCCTCTCTCCCCGTACCCGCCTCCTCTCCGCAGACACCGTACTCAGGTAAGATTATATACATGGCAAATGTCTAGTTTGGTTGCTCTCTCACAAAACTGACTTAATGAAGGACTAAACAGGATATTGTTTTAGTAATTGTGCCTGAGTTTCAGGTGAAGTGAAAGTGAATGTGTGTGCCCTCTGTGTGTGTATAGGATCTCTCCAGTGCAGCTGTCAGACTCTGGGGTCTATACGTGTGTGGCACGCAGTCGTGCTGGCCTCGCCGAGCTTAACTTTGATGTACAGGTCCAAGGTACTAACCTATACTCCCCACCTCCTTTTGATGAATACACCACTGAGCTCTAAGTGCTATATCTGTAAACTGATGTCTGTCTGTCTGTCTGCCTGCCTGCCTGCCTATCTCAGTTCCTCCAGGTGTGGACCGTGTGGAGCCTGTAAAGCCGGTCACAGTGGTGCGGGGGTCCCTGGTGACGCTGACCTGTGAGGCGCAAGGTGTCCCCCCTCCCTCCCTGAAATGGCTAAAGGACGGCCAGCCCCTGTCCCTGCATCGCAACCTCCTGCTTGACGGCCAGGAGACGCGGCTGCAGCTGCCTGACGTGGGGCTCTCCGACAGAGGCCTCTACAGCTGTGTGGCCAGCAACCAGGCTGGCAGCAGCACCAAGAGCTTCAACCTCACTGTGTTGGGTGAGCAGACAGAACAAACATTCTCCATTCACCCAAACAGCACCTACACACAGATGAAAAGTTAAAGCTCCACTGAAGCAACAGGAAAGGGATGTCATGTTAATATGTGTTGCTTAACAATGGTGTCATTTTATATTCTTGTACAGAGCCTCCAAAGATCTACATCAGCTCTCCAGAGGAGTTAATGGTGGCTGTGAACACTGCTCTGGAGCTGGAGTGTACTGCAGAGGGCGTCCCCACTCCTACCCTCAGCTGGCTCAAGGATGGGCGCCCCCTACAGGGAGATAGTGAGATAGTACAGGAGGACGGACACTTCCTCAGGATTACCAAAGTGAAAGTAAGTCACAAACGTAATGAAACCGCATTTAGTTGATATTCAGAACTCACTGCTGTATTATGGTGAACACCAGATAATACCAGATATATCTCTGTTGTTAGGTGGAGGATGCAGGTCTCTACACCTGTCTGGCTAGCAGCGCAGCAGGCGAGGATGGAACGAACCACTGGGTCCGTGTTCAAGGTGTTACATGTGTTTCCTAGCCATATTTTGTCAACCCTGCCAATAGATAACAAGGTACTTATAAATCAAATCCTGATCATCAACGCTTGTCTCCCTGCTCCAGTTCCCCCAACTCTTCTTGGCTCTGATGATGTCAGAACGTTGTCAGTCCCAGCCAAAGGACATCTGACTCTGGAGTGCCAGGCTGACAGTGACCCTCCACCTGACATAGAGTGGTACAAGGACGACGTAAAACTACAGGTCAGACTGGACGTCATGGAAACAGAGGGTGGCAGGAATCACACAATATAGTACATAACGTTATTGGCTCGCTCTTTCTGTTTCCCTCTTTCTCCCTTTCTCTCCTGGTCCCAGCTGGGGGGTCGTATCCAGAGGCTGGCCGGGGGTCAGTACCTGGAGATCCAGGACGTTAGGCCTCAGGACAGTGGCCAGTACAGCTGTGTGGTCACCAACATGGCTGGAAGCACCAACCTCTTCTTCACTGTGGAGATCCTCTGTGAGTTGGTAACATGATGAGTTAGACAGAAGATTGAGATCATGCATTCAGTGATATGGAATAGATCTTCAGTATAAACCTCAATCAATTATAATGTATCTTTTCATGTCTCTTTCCCCCCCCCAGTGCCACCAGTCATCAGAGAGAGCAGCTCTGTGGTAACTGCTCATATCAGTCAGGATGCAGTCTTGCCCTGTGAAGTAGAGGGGGAGGCCTCGCCTACGATCCTGTGGAGGAAAGATGGCATCCCTATAGGTCCTGACAACAACAAGTAAGGGCTTCCTGCTTTTTTGTTCCACTAACTTAGCTGATAGAGGTTATTGGGATACTGTCTTTACACATAAAGCAGAATGTGCCATCTTCTGTATGACTGTAGATTGTCAGGTGAGCTGACTGATTGTGTGTGTCGTGTGTCCCAGGTACACCATGCTGTCTGAAGGCTCTCTGCATGTAAAGGCTGTTCAACTGAGTGATGCTGGCCGCTACTACTGCACCGTGTCCAATCAGGCCGGATCAGATCACCTTGGGATGGACTTACACGTGTTTGGTAAATAAATACAACTCAAAGAAAAACAGAATCACACCATAATACAGTAGATTTACTTTTTTACATTAACATTTTGGAACAGGTGTTCAGCCAATGCATTAGAGTCAGATTGGTTTGTATGCCATACATATCTCTCTGTCTTTCTCATGTTGGGTCCCTGTAGTTGGTCCCTCGATCAACCCTGGTCCCTTCAACGTGACGGTGACCACAGGGGTGAGAGCCGTGCTGAGCTGTGAGGCCACAGGTATGCCTGCACCTAAAGTCACCTGGAAGAGGAACGGCACTCCCATAGTCCTCAACCAGCAGCCTGGCACATACAGGTACGTGAAGCAGAATGACCTGTCCTCTGTGAATTATAACACAATGGACGTAAATACAAAGGATTCATTTTGAAGTATTGTGTGTAACTTTGTTTTGTTTCAAGGTTACTCTCCTCTGGATCTCTGGTCATTTCCTCTCCATCCAATCAGGATGAGGGATACTTTGAATGCACAGCAGCCAATGAGGTTGGAGAGGAGCGCAGTGTCATTGAGGTCATCCTACAAGGTATTGTTGCTTTTAGTTCCTACTCCGACATTTGTAGAAAGCCATTTCATCTAAGATAAAAACAGACTGAGATGTCTTCTCTCTTTCCCTTTAGTCCCCCCCACCATTGAAGATGACATCACAACAGTCACTGCTATCAAAATGGCCCCTGTGGTGCTGCCATGCCATGCCCAGGGCCGCCCAGAGCCCAGTGTCAGCTGGACCAAGAGTGGAGCCAAGCTGGGCTCCCGAGGGGGGAGTTATCGGGTCCTGCCCACAGGTAGGTCCAACTGCTGCTCAGAGTGTAACATTGTGTTGTGGCCATCAGTGATTCTGTCATGTTAGTACTTTGGTCTTCATAGTTGTGGTACTGTACTGTTTGGACCCAGGGGTGCTGGAGATTACAGCTGCTACCCTCAGTCATGCAGGAAGGTACACCTGCTCTGCCCGGAACCCTGCAGGAGTGGCCCACAAACACATAACTCTCACAGTGCAAGGTGGGTCCTCTGGTGGATTGTTGTTGAGGTTATACAGTAGTGGTTCATGTTTTTGCTTTGTAACTCTCTAGTGTCTTTATTTTACCATTTAACAATGGTTAGTCTGTATGTGATAAACCATGTCAATGGATTTGCCCTCTCCCACAGAGCCCCCTGAGATCAGGCCCATGACAGAGGAAGTACAAGTAGTGTTGCATCATGGGACGGTTCTGCCTTGCGAGGTGCAAGGTTTCCCTCGACCCTCCATCACCTGGCAACGAGAGGGTGTTCCCATATTAACTGGTGAGAATGTCCTCTTTTAAATGCTTGATCCTGTGTGGCTCAGTTGGTAGAGCATGGCTCTTGCAATGCCAGGGTTGTGGGTTCGATTCCCACGGGGGACCAGTACAAATTAAAATGTATGCACTCACTACTGTAAGTTGCTCTGGACAAATGCTAAAAGACTAACATTTTAAATTTAAAAAATAATCAGGATTCAAGCCATTATATAACACAATGGACACATACTCTGCTGCTTCAGAATAGTGATGTCTTCTTTCTATGGCTCTACAGGTCACAGACTGGCTCTCCTCTCAAATGGAGCTCTGAAGTTCTCTCGGGTCACACTGGGTGATGCGGGCACTTACCAGTGCCTGGCACAGAATGAAGCTGGCACAGCAATGGGAAGGACACGGCTAGTGCTGCAAGGTAACACACTACACCTCTACAGAGCATAGACATTTTGTCCAAAAAGCATGGAGGCACGTGTTGATACTTAGTTGAATGCTTGTGGGCCCCATAGAAATTAAGAAATGCATATCTCAATAGTGAAAGGTTCAACTATGTGTGATGGTGTTGCTCCAGTTCCTCCAGTACTGAGTGTTCCACGTGTGGAGTACACGGCCGTGCTCGGCCAGCCAGTGAGCCTGGAGTGTGTGGCAGACGGGCAGCCCCAGCCAGAGGTGTCCTGGCACAGGGAACGCAGGCCCGTCACAGAGGGGGCACACATACAGCTCTTTGCCAACGGCACCCTGAGGATCGCGGCCTCACAACGCAGTGATGCTGGCCTGTACACCTGCTCTGCCAAAAACCTCGCTGGCAGGGCCAGCCATGACATGAGGCTTGTCATAATGAGTGAGTGGATAGGAACTGAGGGCATGAGACAGATTTAACCGTAATTTAACCTGACATTAGGAATAACAGTGTCTCATAGAATGGCGTAACTGATTTGCCGGTAATAAACTGAGTCTCTCTTTCTTCTAGTCCCGCCCATGATTCCTGCTGGTCAGCCAGAGCTGTCTGTCATCCAGGGCTTCCAGGCCTTGTTGCCGTGTGCGGCTCAGGGTTCGCCAGAGCCAAGGGTGTCATGGGAGAAGGACGATAACACCGTGCCCAACCTGCCTGGCAAATTTACTGTTCTGCGATCAGGAGAGCTGATCATTGAGAGGGCAGAGGTCAGAGATACATTTCTACTTTACAATGTATAATCAAGGTGATTTAGGTGAAGGTTCTGATCAATGTTTTGGCCCTTGTAGCCAGGTGATGGTGGTGTGTTCACCTGTGTGGCCACCAATACAGCAGGCACAGTGAGACAGGACACCCGCCTGTCCGTCAACATGAGGCCCGCCTTCAAAGAGTTACCTGGTGACGTGACCCTGAACAAAGGCCAAAGTCTCAGCTTGTCTTGCCACGCCCAGGGCACCCCTATCCCTGTCATCTCCTGGACCGCTAACAACAGCCCCTATCCAGGTACACCACTGCCCTCCACAGGCTCCATGTTCTGTTATGATTGATATTATGTAGTCATAGGTATATACAGTGCATTCGGAAAGTATTCAGACCCCTTGACTTTTTCCAAATTTTGTTACGTTACAGCCTTATTCCCCTCAGCAATCTACACACAATACCCCATAATGACAAAGCAGAAACAGTTTTTTTGAAATATTTGCAAATGTATTTAAAAAAAAAACTAAAATATCACATTTACATAAGTATTCAGACCCTTTACTCAGTACTTTGTTGAAGCACCATTGGCAGCGATTACAGCCTCGAGTCTTCTTGGGTATGACGCTACAAGCTTGGGAGACCTGTATTTGGGGTTCTTCGCTCCAGTCTGAGGTCCTGAGCGCTCTGGAGTAGGATCATCAAGGATCTCTCTGTTCATCTTCCCCTCGATCCTGACTAGTCTCCCAGTCCCTGCTGCTGAAAAACATCCCCACAGCATGATGCTGCCACCATGCTTCACCGTAGGGATGGTGCTAGGTTTCCTCCAGACGTGACGCTTGGCATTCAGGCCAAAGAGTTCAATATTTTTATTTTTTATTTTATAAAGCAAAGCAGTGCGATAAAAAACAACAACACAGAATTACATATGGAATAAACAAAAACAAAACGTACAGTCAATAACACAATAGAAAATATATATACAGTGTGTGCAAATGTAGTAAGTTATGGAGGTAAGGCAATAAATAGGCCATAGTGCAAAATAATTACAATTTAGTATTAACACTGGAGTGATAGATGTGCAGAAGATGATGTGCAAATAGAGATACTGGGGTGCAAATGAGCAAAATAAATAACAATGTAAATAACAATATGGGGATGAGGTAGTTGTTGGGCTAATTACAGATGGGCTGTGTACAGGTGCAGTGATCGGTAAGCTGCTCTGACAACTGATGCTTAAAGTTAGTGAGGGAGATAAGTGTCTCCAGCTTCAGATTTTTGCAGTTCGTTCCAGTCATTTGCAGCAGAGAACTGGAAGGAATGGTAGCCAAAGGAGGTGTTGGCTTTGGGGATGACCAGTGAGATATACCTGCTGGAACGCATACTTAAGGTGGGTGTTGCTATGGTGACCAATGATCTAAGATAAGGCGGGGATTTGCCTAGAAGTGATTTATAGATGACCTGGAGCCAGTGGGTTTGGCGACGAATATGTAGTGAGGACCAGCCAACGAGAGCGTACAGGTCACAATGGTGGGTAGTATATGGGGTTTTGGTGACAAAACGGATGGCACTGTGATAGACTACATCCAATTTAGTTGGAAGCTATTTTTAAATGACATCGCCGAAGTCAAGGATCGGTAGGATAGTCAGTTTTACGAGGGCATGTTTAGCAGCATGAGTGAAGGAGGCTTTGTGTCATGAACTCTGATGCGGATGTGGTGCGAATCAATAGCAGGACACAGGAGCTCAGATTAATCCAGACTTTACTAGAAAATCCAAAATGATAACACGGGTCAAACAACCCGGAGGCGAAACATACGCCACAGTGCGTAAAGTACTCCCAAACCGAACTGGGCACGAACAATAGTGCGACGGTAAAACAAAGAGAGTCTAGCAAACAGCACTGCACCAAGCGACAGGAAAACAATTACACACAACACAAGACAGAAACCACAAGAACTTATAGGACACATAATCAACACTAAACATGAACAGGTGTACTAAACAGACCAAACCAATCAAACATAGAAAACAAAGAACGGTGGCAGCTAGTACTCCGGAGACGACGACCGCCGAAGCCTGCCCGAACAAGGAGGAGGAGCAGCCTCGGCCGAAACCGTGACACTTTGTTGCGAAATAGGAAGCCAATTTTTTATTTAACTTTGGTTTGGAGATGCTTAATGTGAGTCTGGAAGGAGAGTTTACGCTCTAACCAGACACCTAGGTATTTGTAGTTGTCCACATATTCTAAGTCAGACCCGCCGAGAGTAGTGATTCTAGTCAGGCGGGCGGGTGCAAGCAGCGTTCGATTGAAGAGCATGCATTTAGTTTTACTAGCGTTTAAGAGAAGTTGGAGGCCACGGAAGGAGTGTTGTATGGCATTGAAGCTCGTTTGGAGGTTTGTTAACACAGTGTCCAATGAAGGGCCAGATGTATACAAAATGGTGTCGTCTGCATAGAGGTGGATCTGAGAGTCACCAGCAGCAAGAGCGACATCATTGATATACACAGAGAATAGAGTCGGCCCGAGAATTGAACCCTGTGGCACCCCCATAGAGACTGCCAGAGGTCCAGACAACAGGCCCTCCGATTTGACACATTGAACTCTATCTGAGAAGTAGTTGGTGAACCAGGCGAGGCAGTCATTTGAGAAACCAATCTTGGTTTCATCAGACCAGAGAATCTTGTTTCCCATGGTCTGAGAGTCCTTTAGGTGCCTTTTAGAGAGTCCTTTAGGTGCCAACTCCAAGTGGGCTGTCATGTGCCTTTTACTGAGGAGTGGCTTCCGTCTGGACACTCTACCATAAAGGTTGGATTGGTGGAGTGCTACAGAGATGGTTGTCCGTCTGGAAGGTTCTCCCATCTCCACAGAGGATCTCTGGAGCTCAGTCAGAGTGACTATCGGGTTCTTGGTCACCTCCCTGACCAAGGCCCTTCTCCCCAGATTGCTCAGTTTGGCTGGGTGGCCAGCTCTAGGAAGAGTCTTGGTGGTTCCAAACTTCTTCCATTTAAGAATGATAGAGGGCCACTGTGTTCTTGGGGACCTTCAATGCTGCAGACATTTTTGGTACCCTCTCCCCAGATCTGTGCCTCGACAATTCCTTCGACCTCATGGCTTGGTTTTTGCTCTGACATGCACGGTCAACTGTGGGACCTTCCCATCAATTGAATTTACCACAGGTGGACTCCAATCAAGTTGTAGAAACATCTCAAGGATGACCAATGGAAACAGGATGCACCTGAGCTCAATTTCATGTATCATAGATAAGGGTCTGAATACTTACGTAAATAAGGTATTTCTTTTTTTACCTGTCATTATGGGCTATTGTGTGTAGATTGATGAGGGTATCTTTAAAAAAAAAAATCATTTTAGAATGAGGCTGTAACGCAACAAAATGTGGAAAAAGTCGAGGGGTCTGAATACTTTCCGAATGCACTGTAGTAATAATGATCTTGATTGTTGCAAACGTGTCTCTCTCTCTCTCTCTCAGGTTCCAGTGTGGATGAGGCAGGCAGAAGCTCCTTGGTCAAAGAGAATGTGACCATGAGTGATGCGGGAACCTATGTGTGCCTAGCAGAGAACAGTGTGGGCACCATTAGAGCGCTCTCATTTGTCCGCATCAGAGGTGAGCACTTTGAAGACATGACCAGAGTTTAGACTGTTTCTATTTGTATTACTATTGTTCTATTTGTTTATAGGGGTACACTGTATGTAAGGGATGTGTTATGGTCATGTCTCCTTAGAACCTCCAGTTTTGAAGGGAGAGGCCCGCACCTCTCAGACTGTGGCCCAGGGTGGCACAGCCATGCTGGACTGTCCTGTCCATGGAAACCCCAGTCCTGTCCTCCGCTGGCTCCATGACGGCAGACCCCTTCTCCGCTCCCTTCGCCTGCAACCCCTCCATAATGGCTCCCTGGCCATCTACAGCATCACGGTAAACACAGCCCTGCACCTGCCCCACCTGTCCCATCTGCCTCCCTCAGAAATATTTTTATCCAGTGTTAGTTGAATTTGAGAGTTCATATCTTGAGTAAAAAATGTCTGTACAAGAAATTATGAACATTTTTGAAGTCAGCTTAAGAGTGAGAGGATGGACCACTGACTGCAGTCAATCTGCACTCCATCTGCAGTCCTGAGTCATGGAACGTTGTGTGACCTAACTGCAGTGTGCCAGTCTGGCCTTAATCAGATTGGCGTGAGTTCAGTCAGAGCCTAATAGTATTAGCTAGAGAGGGAGTGAGAGGGAGCTCAGATATGGATGTTCCCAGGCTCTCTCCCTGTTCTGCCGGCTGTAACGTTAACTTTGTTACCTTTATAATTGATGCTGTAATAGTACACCCTGCAGCTGACACTTTCTCAAAGACAAATGGTTATTCTTCTCACAGAGAGCTCTAATGTGATACTTCCTCTCTTTCTGGTGTCATAATGACAGTTATTGCAAACAAGCTAATGGAAAAACCTTATGCTTTACTTTTTAGAAAATGTCAGCTGTTAAATATGTTAATGAGGGATGTAAGTTCCATTAAAAAATCAGAAATATGCAACAGAAAAAAAAGTTAAAGCAGTCTATGGAACAAATATGTTTACTGTAGAGTTGACTGACGGACTCAAAGAATACTCAAACAGGGCTTCTTAGGACGGCAATACTTTATTCAGCAGCATTCATCAGTACACCATACATCAGCATATGGAAACGTATTTCTGACCAGTCAGTAAGCTGACACACCCTTTTAGAAACTTTGAAACAGGGCTGGCCCTAAAAGGCTCATCCCTCGGTCCTCATACCAGATTGTTAGTTCATTGAAGGATATAATGCTAACCGGTAATGATGATCAGTTTGGAAGTCAAGATCATCTGTTTTCTTTTATTTTAGACATACACAAAGTTGATACAGAGGATTAAACAAAGATGTTTTAAGACATCAGCTTGATTTATAAATGTCATAGTTAATAATTGCCCAATTAATACAGGTCATTGTTAGTATATAAATTCACAATCTTCACGCACACTACACACTCACATTTAGCTGAACCCTTCATTACCACTGGGGTAATGTCACTACATTCTATGATGTTATTTGGAAGAGTGAAAAGATGAGGGTCCCCAACAGCTTATCGAACAATAATAATGTGTTTGTGTTAAATGTGTTTATGCCATAATATGTCTATCTGTCCCCATCGGTGTCAGAGAGGAGATGCAGGGGAGTACCAGTGTGTGGCTGAGAGTGAGGCTGGAGTTGCTGAGAGAACCGTCTCTCTCAAAGTACAGAGTAAGTGATGTGTGGACCATGAACACAGTCACACCAACATCCTTCTACTGTTGTGAAAATATTAAATAGGAGTATTCTTAAAATTACACACAAGGCCACACAAGAAAATTAAACCTTCTGTCGCGTTCAACTCTGGTCAAGAAAAGCAATGGATTGTTTATTTCATTCTCTAAATGGATTCTTGCTCTCTCTCTCTCTCTATCTCTCTCTCTCTCTCTCTCTCTCTCTCTCTCTCTCTCTCTCTCTCTCTCTCTCTCTCTCTCTCTCTCTCTCTCTCTCTCTCTCTCTCTCTCTCTCTCTCTCTCTCTCTCTCTCTCTCTCTCTCTCTCTCTCTCTCTCTCTCTCTCTCTCTCTCTCTCTCCTGCCACAGTTAAGGGAGGGTACTCTAACTGGGAGGAGTGGGGCCCATGCAGCACCACGTGTGGACGAGGTGTTCAGGAGCGAATCAGGTTATGCAACAATCCAGAGCCGGTCAATGGGGGGCGATCATGTGACGGTCCCAGTATGGACTCCAGAAGATGTCAGACTGGACTCTGTCCAGGTACGGCTGATTGAACTGGTCTCCTGTCACTCCAAACAAATGCTGCTGAATTTAACAATGGAATGATATTATGTAAATAAAAAATGTAGTACTATAGTTAAATTAATGTGTACTTAGTCCCCTCTCTCTCTTTCTCTCTCTCTCACCCTCTCTCGTTCTCCCCCCCATCTCTCTCTATATTTGGTTACTGAAGGGGAGGCCCCTCGTAAGGCCAGGGGAAGCCTGATAGGGATGGTGAATGATAGGGAGTTTGGGGTGTCGTTCCTGGAGGCTAACATCACAGAGAACCTAGAGGAGGGAACCAGCACCCTTCAGGCCCACCTGGACAACATCCCCCCTAGTGTGGGTTAGTATGGGAGTGGGAGAGATGTCTTACAATAACCAGTAGGATTCTGTTAGAAATACCAATCAAGTCAGTAACCTAGCCAAGTTGTGTAGACATTGTGTGTATATCCCTCAGTCACTGTCATTGAGAATGTCTGTACCCTGACCTATCATACTCTTCTTAGAGGTATTTCCATAGAAGCTGTGGTCTTACTACTGATGTTTTGCAGGTCCATTGCTGCGAGCGCTCGTGTCTGTGTTTGCTCCCATCTACTGGACCACAGTGCTGCAGACTGGAGCAGCCAGGAACGGCTACTCACTGACCCAGGGCCTGTTCAGACAGGAGTCCCAGCTGGAGTTTGACACAGGTCAGTACTGAAGAACAGATACAATTACATCCTGCAAAATAACCTGAATTGTTTTATTCTACTTTAAATGTAGTCCTACAACAGTGTTTGTCACTACTGAACTGAATTTTCATTTAAAATCTGTACAGGTGTAGGATCTTAATTGGATCACCCTGTTGCAAGAAATGTCCTGCACCGCAGGAAATGCAAACTTGTAGTGTATTCAAGGTTTAAACAGGCTTCTCAAGTTTATAATTTCCACTTTAACCCCCTAAAGTCCGTGCCCTCGCGGATATCGAATTAGCATAATAAATAATCTATCTGTTGTTCCATGTAGTAAATCTGTTATTCAATGCGTTTGATACTTCAAGGGGTCTTAAAATTCCAAATCAAGTAGCAAAATGATCCCTTGTATGACCTTCTTAAAACAATTCCATATATCTTAGTAGAACCCTTTCTTAGACAGGGAATAGACCGTTAATTTGCCCAAACTAAAAATGGATCAACCCCTACATAAATGTCCATTAATTATAATCAACACAATAATTCAAATTTCCTCTTGCTGAAGGATTATTTTCTTGCCATTAGAAAGTGGTCAAATTAAGATCCTATATCTGTACGTTGTAAGAGAACCAGCAGAGGGCATATTTCTCCATGACTGCATTTCATTTTTGCTGACTTGAGAATTCAGATTCAAAGTCCTTTATTGTCCACAAATTTGTCCCATTAATACACAAGAACAGTGAAACACAACAACAGGTTCTCACAAAAACATACAGTGCCTTCAGAAAGTATTCATACCCCTTGACTTATTCCACATTTAGTTGTTACAGCCTGAATTCAAGAAACGTACAGATTTTTTTCTCTCACCAATCTACACACAATACCCCATAATGACAAAGCGACATGTTTTTAGAAATATTTGCAAAATTATTGAAAATGAAATACAGAAATATCTAATTTACATAAGTATTCACACCCCAGAGTCAATACTTTGTAGAATCACCTTTGGCAGTGATTACAGCTGTGAGTCTTTCTGGGTTCGTTTCTAAGAGCTTTCCACACTTGGATTGTGCAACATTTGCCCATTTTATTATTTTCTAAATTCTTCAAGCTCTGTCAAATTGGTTGTTTATCATTGCTAGACAACCATTTTCAGGTCTTGCCACAGATTTTCAAGTAGATTTAAGTCAAAACTGTAACTCGGCCACTCAGGAACATTCACTGTCTTCATGGTAAGCAACTCCAGTGTAGATTTGACCTTGTGTTTTAGGTTATTGACCTGCTGAAAGGTGAATTCATCTCCCAGTGTCTGGTGGAAAGCAGACTGAACCAGGTTTTCCTCTTGGATTTTAACTGTGCTTAGCTCCATTCAGTTTATTTTTTATCCTGAAAAACTCCCCAGTCCTTAACTATTACAAGCATATCCATAACATGATTCAGCCACCACTATGGAGAGTGGTAATAAGGAATGGGTTGTATTGGATTTGCCTCAAACATAACACTTTGTATTCAGGACAAAAAGTTCATTACTTTGCCACATTATTTGCAGTATTACTTTAGTGCCATGTTGCAAACAGGATGCATGTTTTAGAATATTTTTATTCTGTACAGGCTTCCTTCTTTTCACTCTGTCAATTAGGTTAGTATTATGGAGTAACTACAATGTTGTTGATCCATCCTCAGTTTTCTCTTATCACAGCCATTTAACTCTGTAACTGTGTTAAAGTCACCATTGGCCTCATGGTGAAATCCCTGAGTGGTTTCCTTCCTCTCCGACAACTGGGTTAGGAAGGACACCTGTATCTTTCCAGTGACTGGGTGTATTGATACACCATCCAAAGTGTAATGAATAACTTCACAATGTGCAAAGGGATATTCAATGTCTATTTATTATTTTTTTAACCCACCTACCAATAGGTGCCCTACTTTGCGAGGCATTGGAAAACCTCCCTCGTCTTTGTGGTTGAATCTGTGTTTGAAATTCACTGCTTGACTGAGGGACCTTACAGATAATTGTATGTGTGGGGTACAGAGATGAGGTAATCAATCAAAAATAATGTTAAACACTATTATTGCACACAGAGTGAGTCCATAAAACGTATTATTGACATTTTAGTCATTTAGCAGACGCTCTTATCCAGAGCGACTTACAGTTAGTGAGTGCATACATTTTTTTTTCAATACTGCTCCCCCGTGGGAAACGAACCAACTGAGCTACACGGGACTTGTTAAGCAAAGTTTTACCTCTGAACGTATTAAGCCTTGCCATAACAAAGGGGTTGAATACTTATTGACTCAAGACATTTCAGCTTTTAATTTTTAATACATTTGTAAACATTTTGAAAAACATAATTCCACTTTGACATTATGGGGTATTGTGTGTAGGCCTGTGACCCAAACAATCTCAATTTAATCAATTTTAAATTCAGGCTGTAACACAACAAAATGTGGAAAAAGTCAAGGGGCATCCGGCGGGGAGGGGGGTGAAGACTACCACCTCATGAACCAGGGCTTCATGTGGACCATCCCCTACAGACGGACAGGCCCTCTGGTTGGGAGACAGATCTATAGGTTTAGTGTGGAGGGTCTAGTGAATGGCAGATTTGACTACAGCTATAATAACTACCGGGTCACCAGCATGCAGGCCATGATCAATCAATCTTCTCTTCCCATTGACCTTTACCGTTATGTTGATGTGTCTGGAAGGATTGAACAGTTTGGGAAATTCAGTTTCATAAACTATGACCTCAATCAAGTGATCACTACACACATCATGAAGCACAAGAAGATATTTAATGCCAACGGACAAGTGATCGAGGTCCAGTATGAGATCCTGAAGTCTAGTGCAGTATGACAACATGGGTCGCATCATTATCTGTGAAATCAGTGGAGGCTGGTGGGAGGAGCTATAGGAGGACGGGCTCATTGTAATGGTTGAAATAGAATAAATGGAACGTATCAAACATATGGAAACCACGTTTGACTCCGTTCCATTTATTCAATTTCAGCCATTACAATAAGCCCGTCCTCCAATAGCTCATTACATTTTACATTTTAGTCATTTAGCAGACACTCTTATCCAGAGCGACTTACAGTTAGTGAGTGCATACACTTTTTTCATACTGCCCCCCCCCCATGGGAAACAAACCCACAACCCAGGATCAGTGTGAATAACAACATCACACGCTACTCATACAAGTATGATGCTGATAGTCCGCTTATAGTTACGACCTTAATTGCAATATTAAAATACTGAGTCATGGCAACAGTGCCAGACTAATGCCATTGTGCTACGACTTACAAGACCGCATAACAATTCAGTACAAAATGGATGAAGATGGCTTTCTTCGCCTGCGGGGCAATGTCATGTTTGATTACAACTCCAACTGACAGTGTCGGAGCGGAGTGTTCACTACCACTATGACGGCCTGGGCAGGACCCGTGACGGCCCACAGCTCCAGTTCTTCTATGCTGGCCTGACCAAACCGACCAGGGTGACCCACATGTTCAACCACTCCAGCTTTGAGATCACCTCCCTCTGCTATGACCTGCAGGGACACCTCATCACCATGGAGCTGAGCAGCGGGGAGGAAAGCTATGTAGCCTGTGATAACTCTGGTACGCCACTGGCCATCTTCAGTAGCTGAGGACATATTGTCAAGGAGATGCTCTACACCCCTTACAGTGACAATTACCAAGACTCAAACCCCTCCTTTTAGCTGATCACCGGGTTCCAGGGCGGTCTCTATGACCCGCTAACCAAGCTGGTCCACCTGGGGAGGAGGGACTATGTATGATGTGGTGGCTGGGAGGTAGACTACTCCCAACCATAACATGTGGATGGAGCTCAGCATCAACCCCAAGCCTTTCAACCTCTACTCCTTCAAAAACAGCTACCCTGTTGGAGAGTTACAGGATGTCACCAAGTTCACTACCGATATTAGCAGTTGGTTGCAACTGTTTGGGTTCCAGCTCCACAATGTTGTCCCTGGTTATCCCAAGCCGGAGGTGGAGAGCATGGAGCAAACCTACGCAATGATGAGGGCTCGACACAAGACTGGGACCCTTGTAAGGTTATGTTGGGTATCCAGTGTGAGTTGCAGAAACACCTGAAGAACTTCATCTCTCTGGACCTGCTGCCTATGAGTAAGGTGAGTGGTCAGCTGGGGGTGTGGCATGGCTAGAGGCCCCGCTTCTCTGCCATCTCCTCCATCTTTGGTAAGGGCGTCAAGTTTGCCATCAGAGATAATGTCGTCATCACCGAAATTATTGGGGTTGCGAGCGAGGCCAGCGTGTGGCAGCAGTCCTAAACCACGTGATCTACCTGTCAGGCCTGCACTTCACGGTGGGCGGTCTGGACACTCACTACTTCATCAAGCCTGGTCTGATGGAGGGGGACCTGGGTGTGGTCGGCCACACCGGAGCTGGTTGCGTCCTGGACAACGGCGCCTACATGACCTTGTCCCAGATGACGACAGTGGTGGGTGCTTCACTGACATCCAGATACAGCACAGGACTCTGTGCTTCAACATCCGCAACTGTGCCACAGAGGAGGAGGAGAGGGAACATGTGCTGGAGGTGGAACGGCACAGGGCGGTGAAGCAGGCATGGGTCATAGAGCAGAGGAGGAAGGAGAGGAGGGCTCCAGGCTCTGGACAGAAAGGGAAAGGGGATACCTAGTCAGTTGCACAACTGAATGCATTCAACTGAAATTTCTTCTGCATTTAACCCAACCTCTGAACTCTCTGAATCAGAGAGGCAGCAGCTGCTCTCCACTGGACAGGTGTGACGGCTACTTCATCCTCTCCGTGGAGCAGTACCTGGAGTTCTCTGACAGTGCCAACAATATTCACTTCATGAGGCAAAATGAAATATGGAGGAGGTAACAGCGGCATCGTGCTTCACTACTGCCGTGGGTTCCCCTTCACCAAAGACGGTTTTTAGACATAATTTACAATGATTTGTTGTACTGTTTTTTTCCTAGAATGATGATGATAAATAAATAAAAAAAGACAACTGGCTTTAAAAGTGACAAATTATGGTATTTCGTTTCACCTGTGTTCTGATTGTTTTGTTTCGTCTGGGAATGAGTTGATCATTTGAAACGCTTGACTATCTTTCATTTACGAGTGACTTAGCTAGTTTATGTAATTTGACCTACTTTGTAAGCTGTTAGATATGCTGAATCTGAGATGACAGACGCCTTATCAAGTTCATTACCATATAATTAATCTTCATACATACTGTATGTATAACAGTGTCACGGTTAATAAGGAAGTGGTCAGATGATGCAGATGCTAAGCTACAGGACTGTTTTGCTAGCACAGACTGGAATATGTTCCGGGATTTTTCCGATAGCATTGAGGAGTACACCACATCAGTCACTGGCTTCATCAATAAGTGCATCGATGATGTCGTCCCCACAGTGACCGTACGTACATACCCCAACCAGAAGCCATGGATTACAGTTGTGCCGACGACACAACAGTGGTAGGCCTGATCACAGACAACGATGAGACAGCCTATAGGGAGGAGGTCAGAGACCGAGCCGTGTGGTGCTAGGATAACAACCTCTCCCTCAACGTGATCAAGATAAAGGAGATGATTGTGGACTACAGGAAAAAAAAGAGGACTGAGCACGCCCCCATTCTCATTGACGGGGCTGTAGTGGAACAGGTTGAGAGCTTCAAGTTCCTTGGTGTCCACATCACCAACAAACTATCATGGTCCAAACACACCAAAACATTTGTGAAGAGGGCACGACAAAGCCTTTTCCCCCTCAGGAGACTGAATAGATTTGGTATGGGTCCTCAGATCTCAAAAAGTTCTACAGCTGCACCATCGAGAGCATCCTGACTGGTTGCATCACCACCTGGTATGGCAACTGCTCAGCCTCCGACCGCAAGGCACTACAGAGGGTAGTGCGTACGGCCCAGTACATCACTGGGGCCAAGCTTCCTGCCATCCAGGACCTCTATACCAGGCGGTGTCAGAGGAAGGCCCTAAAAATTATCAAAGACTCCAGCCACCCTAGTCAGACTGTTCTCTCTGCTACATCACGGCAAGTCTAGGTCCAAAAGGCTTCTTAACAGCTTCTACCCCCAAGCCATAAGACTCCTGAACAGCTAATCATGGCTACCCGGACTATTTGCATTGTCCCCCCCCACCCCACCCCATCCCCCTCTTTTACGCTGCTGCTACTCTGTTTATTATTTATGCATAGTCACTTTAACACTACCTACATGTACATATTACCTCAATTACCTCGACTAACCGGTGCCCCCGCACATTGACTCTGTACCGGTACCCCCTGTATATAGCCTTCCTACTGTTATCTTATTTTACTTCTGCTCTTTTCTTATTTTTTACTTATCTATTTTTACTTAACACTGCGTTGTTGGTTAAGGGCTTGTAAGTAAGCATTTCACTGTAATGTCTACACCTGTTGTATTCGGCGCGTGTGGCAAATATAATTTGATTTGATTTGGTGGCAACTTAATTGGGGAGGACAGACTTGTGGTAATGGCTAGAGCAGAATTAGTGGAATGGTATCAAATACATGGTTTCCATGTGTTTGATGCCATTCCATTTACTCAGTTCCAGCCATTATTATAAGCCATCCTCCCCTCAGCAGCCTTCACTGAACAGTGTTGTGAATTGCTCTCATTTCAGTTTATACAGTACATATCTCTCTGTGATCTCTTGAGAAATTGTAGTGAAAACTACTGTCATCTTTTGTGAGTACGAGACTCACTGGCATCTTGGATTTTGCTGCTTCCTGCTTATTTGACGTTCTGGTGGTACAATGGACTGTGTGGGTTTAGACAAATTAAATTGCATATAGCAAGTGCCTTTTTCATCTCGTTAATCCCATCTATAGAATTGATCACTGGAGTTACACAGAGCAACAGGAAAAAGTATTCATGCTGAACCTGTTCAGTATAATGAACTTTTTTTTTTACAAATTGCTTATTGTAAAATATAATGTATTATCCTGGTGGAGCTCCTTCCATATCATGAAAAGTGTTATTATTTATATCATATATTCACTGGACTAGAACGTAGAGCTTGCAGGGCAGACTATAGTGGCCTACACAAAGTGCTACATCATAGTGTAAATGCTGCAAATACCTCATGTTGTAATTCACAGGTATTACATTCATTGTACCTTAATTGTCATGATGCATTTACAAGGCTATCCTTACCAGTCCCTGTTCAGTTAGACAGAACTGTCCCAGTAGTAGAAATATCCGAGCTAGCAAGTCAATTGGCAGACAGTACAGTAGATAAGTCTCACTAAGTAATCCAAAAATCAAGAATTAGTTGTAAGAATCAATGGTTTGCGTGGTACAAAAAGGTGATAAGCTTGTAAAAAATGTCCATACATGTAGGACAAGGCACACTTAAAGTTTATCAAGTGGGTAGAAGTATATACTACATATCAGGAGTGGGAAATCAGAGCAGGGTGAAAAGCAGACAGAAGAGGACAGTGGGTATCTTACAAGAGCCTGAGTGTGTACTAGTTAAAGGTCAAATGTAGTAGAGGTGGAGGAGGATTTTTCAAAGAGAAATGCACACAGAGAGTAGAAATGCAAACAGACGCCTCACAGGTCCTAAACTGGCAGCTTCATTAAATAGTACCCGCAAAACACCAGTCTCAACGTCAACAGTGAAGAGGCGACTCCGGGATGCTGACCTAGGCAGAGATGCAAAGAAAAAGTCCAGTGTCTGTGTTCTTTTGCCCATCTTAATCTTTTCTTTTTATTGGCCAGTCTGAGATATGGCTTTTTCTTTGCAACTCTGCCTAGAAGGTCAGCATCCCGGAGTCGCCTCTTCACTATTAATAATAATATGCCATTTAGCAGACGCTTTTATCCAAAGCGACTTACAGTCATGTGTGCATACATTTTTACGTATGGGTGGTCCCAGGGATCGAACCCACTACCCTGGCATTACAAGCGCCATGCTCTACCAATTGAGCTACAGAGGACCACATTTGACGTTTAGACTGGTGTTTTGCGGGTACTATTTAAAGAAGCTGCCAGTTGAGGACCTGTGAGGCGTCTGTTTCTCAAACTATACACTCTAATGTATTTGTCCTCTTGCTCAGTTGTGCACCAGGGCCCTCCCACTCCTCTTTCTATTCTGGTTAGAGACAGTTTACGCTGTTCTGTGAAGGGAGTAGTACACAGCGTTGTACGAGATCTTCAGTTTCTTGGCAATTTCTCGCATGGAATAGCCTTCATTTCTCAGAACAAGAATAGACTGACGAGTTTCAGAGGAAAGTTATTTGTTTCTGGCCATTTTGAGCCTGTAATCGAACCCACAATTGCTGATGCTCCAGATACTCAACTAGTTTCAAGAAGGCCAGTTTTATTGCTTCTTTAATCAGCACAACAGTTTTCAGCTGTGCTAACATAATTACAAAAAGGGTTTTCTAATGATCAATTAGCCTTTTAAAATGATAAACTTGGATTAGCAAACACAACGTGCCATTGGAACACAGGACTGATGGTTGCTAATAATGGGCCTCTGTACGCCTATGTAGATATTCCATTAAAAATCAGCTGTTTCCAGCTACAATAGCCATTTACAACATTAACAATGTCTACACTGTATTTCTGATCAATGTGATTTTATTTTTATGGACAAAAAATAGCTTTTCTTTTGAAAACAAGGAAATTTCTAAGTGACACCAAACTTTTGAAAGGTAGTATATATAGTACCAGTCAAAAGTATTTTTTTTTTTTTTTTGGGACCATGTTAAATTATCATTGTCATTGCGCACACATTGATGTCAGATATGCACCTACCCCAATGCTCTGTTGCTGATGACTGGGATGAATGCAGGAGGAGATTTCCGGAGCAGGACAAGACGCCCTCTTTTTGACTGATGACTGATAGAAGGGCATGTACGAGATAGGCCTATCTGGTTTATATGATTATGATGGTCATAATGCTTCTTGACAGTGTCATAAAGTATATTTTGTTAGTCCAAGTAAAGTGACACAGGATGGTCATAATGCTTCTTGACAATGTCATAAAGTGTATTTTCTAGAAGTTATTTAAAATATGATGAAAAAAAACTCCTGAGTGGCGCAGTGGTCTAAGGCACTGCATCGCAGTGCTAACTGTGCCACTAGAGATCCTGGTTCGAATCCAGGCTCTGTCGCAGCCGGCCGCGACCGGGAGACTCATGGGAGGCGCACAATTGGCCCAGCGTCGTCCAGGGTAGGGGAGGGAATGGCCGGCAGGGATGTAGCTCAGTTGATAGAGCATGGCGTTTGCAACGCCAGGGTTGTGGGTTCAATTCCCACGGGGGGCCAGTATAAAAAAAATATGTATTCACTAACTGTAAGTCGCTCTGGATAAGAGCATCTGCTAAATGACTAAAATGTAATGACTGTAAAGAATTAATTACAACAAAAACAAAGGATTTAAGAAACAAACTTTCAAACGAAAGGAAACTTCTTGGCAGGGAAAAAACTAAATTGAATAAATGTGGGTTTTAACACTCTTATGTAGGTGTCATAACCAGCCATAAAATAATGCAATATATATATCATAACAGGTGTAAATATTTGGGTTATGTCAGCTGTTATGACACGTTATGACCGTGTCATAACGTGTTATGACACTGGGTTTCAAGTAAAGTGTTACCGTATACGGTATAACATATTTTGGGTAAATTAATTGATAGTACTCATTGGTGGTCCTATTAATGATATTCTCTTAGTTTGGTAAATGAGTCTGAGAGCGAAAAGGGTGTGATTGCCAAGATACATTTCTGTACGGGATACTGTGTAGACTGACGTTATGAAAACGCTTGACTGGATTTTCTACTCTGTACTTTGACCTAGTGGCATGTATTTTCTGTTAGTGCTCCAGGAAGTGGGTGTAAATAATGAGAAGTTAATATATTGGGTGTGGAAAGTTAATGTTCAACACGTTTTTGTATTTTTTATTTTATGAATCCCAGCTGTTTCTGAACGTTGTGTTTGTGTGTGTAACCAGGAGAGAGCCTTCGGTTGACCCATGTAGCCAGAGGTCTGGACTCAGAGGGGGTTCTCCTAATGGACATCGTTATCAACGGCTTTGTCCCTCCAACATTATCAACCTCCCATCTCAATCTGCAGGTGTGTAATGACCAACACTGTCATCCTAAGGCCAGCTCAAGTCCCTGACCGTGACTAACCATGACAGGCTATCTCTTAATTAAATATATAAAATATATAAAATATCTCTAATATGATAATTGCTTTGTGTCCTGCAGGAGTTTGATGAGTCGTACGTGCAGACGGGACCAGGGCAGCTGTACTCATGGTCGTCCCAGGCCTTCCAGAGAGCAGGCAGTCCCATGGTGCTGCGCTGTAACCACTCCATCATCTATGAGGGCCGAGATGAGCGCCAAGGGCCCCTGTTGCAGCTGCTCAAGGTGTCCCAGATGAGTGGCATCTACAGCATGTTCACTCTCAGTCTGGACTTCCAGATCACAGCCTCACTACTCCTACCAGGTCAGTGCTAACATAAGACAGACTTACACAAAACAGACAGGCAGACACTTGACTTTAAAATGATGTACTGTAGCAAACATGTTACATTTTAGTCATTGTAGTTGTTTAAATGTAAGTTGGGATTTAATTGGTTCATGGACTAAAGGTGGTGCTCTGAATGTTTAGATGGTGATGGAGAAACGTGCCCGAAAGGTTTTGTTCTGGATACAGCCTCTTACTGTGCTGGTATGTTTTTGTATACTTTTGCCTTCTGTGATTTTAAAATAAAATAAAAAAGCTAAAAAAAAGCAATGTATACCGGAGCAAATCATTAATATGAAAATAATCAAAATACCCTTTTTGGATTTACCAATATTATTTTGTATTGCAGTGTATTATAATGTATTACAACAATACTATTACAATGGATTACGGTAAAATGAACTCTTGCAGAAAATCTTAATAATCGGTAACTGTTGGATCGTTAGATGAGGATGAATGTGCTGCAGAGTCGCCCTGCTCTCATTCCTGCAACAATGTGATGGGTGGCTTCTCCTGTGCCTGTCCCTCCGGCTTCACCATCTCCCCAAAGACCAACACATGCCAAGGTCAGCCCCAGGAAACACTCTCACTGAATGCTGTACACTTTATCACACCATTTTATATCTCCTATTTAGATATGTCATTACATTAGGTTATCTGTCTGTATATGGCTCTGGTATCATGTTGATTTGTATGCTTTATCTAGAAGGCAATCTATTGTGACAGTTAGAAAAACATAAATATTTACATTCATTTAAATAGTCAGCTAGCTAGCGCACACAATATCTGGTTCTGGGTTCCAAGATTATCTGAACTGATATTATCGCTGTGAATGTATAAACACTGTTGTAGACAGTGTTCTTGTGTTTCACTTCACATTTGTGGTACCTCTCTGCAGATATTGATGAATGTGCCCAGGCTTCCCACATGTGCCACTACAACCAGCAGTGTGTGAACACGGTTGGCACATACCGATGCCAGGCTAAATGTGGACCAGGGTTCAAGCCCAGCACCATGGGAACCAGCTGTGAAGGCAAGTCTATTCACAACAAATGAAAAGTTTATTTTGGATATTCTTTCAGCCACTCATCAATTGAATGGAATACATGCTAGTCCATCCTATAAAAGGGTGCTGACTATAAGGCGTATTAGTAACAGAGTTAGAGCTGTGGTGTGTGTTTCAGATGTGGATGAGTGCCAGGAGTCGTCTCTCTCCCCGTGCCAGCAGCAGTGTCTGAACATCCTGGGCTCCTTCCGCTGTGCCTGCAACCCTGGCTACCAGCTCTCTGGCCACCGCTGTCTGGGTCAGTGGCCCCTGCAGCTCACTGATGATATTTTCAACAGAATCAAATGTTTCACACCAGCATCATATGGAAGCAGTACGTTAACTTATGCAATCTCTAACCCTTTATGCTTGTTTGTAAACAGACATCAACGAGTGCAGCAGGAATGTGTGCCCAGCTCACCAGCAGTGCCGCAACACAGAGGGAGGCTACCAGTGTTTTGACAGCTGCCCAGCTGGCATGAGAATGGGAGAGAATGGGGCCTGCGTGGGTAATAATTCATGCCTCTATTACTCTGACTGTTGTTGCATGCAGGTACACCTTTGTGGCATGATAATGATGATCCTACCATTAAGCCCTGTGTTTACCAACGTTGTGTGTCACAGATGTGGACGAGTGCCAGGATGGGAGCCACATGTGCCGCTACAGCCAGATCTGTCAGAACAGCATTGGGGGGTACGGCTGTGTTTGCCCCAGAGGTTACCAGTCCCAGGGGGTGGGCCGTCCATGCCTGGGTAAGATGCTTCATTTTAGCATAGACATGTTTTACTACACAAAACAATATGCTACTGTTCAATAAAATCGTTATAAGTAGTGTCTGAGTCTTGTTTTGCCTTTTAGACATTGATGAGTGCCTACAGACGCCGAGCCCCTGTGCCCACAAGTGCCGTAACGTGCCAGGCAGCTTCCGGTGCCTCTGCCCACCAGGCACTGTGTTACTGGGGGATGGGCGCTCCTGTGCTGGTCTAGAGAGAGGACAGGCCTTCTCCAACGGTACCCGCATCAGGGAAAGACTGCGCCCACAGCTGGTGTCATCGCTCGGTAGGCCCATCCTCTCACGGCATCATGGGGTTTCCCGCATTACCAGACAGAGCTGCCCCATAGGCTACACCAACCGAGATGGCACATGTGTCGGTGAGTGTCCCTCCCCCTAAAGTAGAATTCCCTTTGGAAGTATTTCCCAATATAAAGATGTTGTTATTAAATAATCCCAACCACCAAGGGTACTTTGGTTCTGTCATCTAATTGGCATCTGTGTTTGTGGACAAGATGGAGAAGAAGCTTCTCATTTTCCTTGAATGTCTGTAAGCAAAGGTCGCAAGCAAGGGAGTTTAGTCTGGTACCACTGGTGCCTACCTCATCATGTCATTGATCTCTGTACAGATGTGGATGAGTGCTTGCTGAGGAAGCCATGCCAACATGAGTGCCGAAACACAATAGGCAGTTTCCAGTGCCTCTGTCCTACAGGCTACCAGCTCTTACCCAACGGCAGGAGCTGCAAAGGTATGGAGAAAACATACAATACACATAACCACCCATCACGACTAGGTTTGCATTGCCAAGAACATACACAGGTACTGAGTTTCCTTTCTGATGCTTGCAGACATTGATGAGTGTACAGTACAAGGCATCCAGTGTGGACACAACCAGATGTGCTTCAACACTCGTGGAGGACATCAGTGTCTGGACACGCCCTGCCCTGCATCCTATCAGAAAGGAGGGAGCCCAGGGTAAGGAGCCTCAATCAACACCACTGTGTGTTGCAATATGTGGTTAGTTAGACAGATTGTTTCCTGGGTATTTTTTAAATATTGTAGTTACCGTAGTTACTTATCACACCACCATAAGGTCATTTTTGTGTAGTTAGCTATGTATGTAATAAGTCACTGACCATTGGTGCCACAAAACCATGAAGTGGTTGCTCTGTACAGTAGTTATGTATTGTATGTGTCACTGAACTTTAGAGCCAGCTGATAACCGACAGTATCAGTACCTCTGAAAGTGTAACAGTTGACTCTTCTCTCTCCATGGCAGGACGTGCTACAGACCCTGCTCTTGGGACTGTGCCTCAGGAGGTTCCCCTCTGCTACTGCAGTACAAGCTGCTGACCCTCCCCCTCGGCATCCCAGCCAATCACAACGTGGTGCGCCTGTCTGCCTTCTCTGAGGCGGGGGTGTTGCAGGAGAGAACATCCTTCACCATCCTGGAACAGGGCAGTGAGGGGGGGGCAGGGGTGGGGGCAGGGGGCCAGATGTTTGGCATCAGGGATGAGGCAGGCAGGGGCATCATCTTCACCCTACGGTCCCTGCAGAGGCCAGGACTGGTGCATCTGAGGGTGCAGGCCACCACCCTCTCCACACAGGGCCGCATCACATACCAGAGCATCTTCATCATATACATCTCCATCTCTAGATACCCCTACTGAGCTGAGCCCCCCCAGCTGGAGGCTGGAACTGACTGTGTTTTCCCCTAAGAGGCCACTGTCCCCTCCCTCAACCTCTGTAGAATCAGGCCCCCAGCCTGGAGGCCTGGGAGAATGAGCGTGCCAGCCAAGCCAAGAAAGCACTAATCATGAGACAAGGCAAACAATATTATCACTAAGGATTTCATGGATATTTTGACCCTTATCTGTGGTACAAACTAAACTGTATTGAAATGGATCTTAAACTGTAGGGACATGGTTTTGTCAAAATCTGTTCTGTTTTGTTGGATTTATTACAATGAACACGCCAAAGATGGTCCTATAGCATTATAATGGCGTGCAGGTATTTATATAGTGAAAATGCTACACGTATGCCAATATTATTTTATCTCAAGTGTTTTTCTATCCTTTTAAGTAATTGTTGTCACATGAACCAGCTATAAGGTGCTATTCTGAATGTACTTGAGTGTGTTTAACTTCATGGCCTTAGCTTCATCGAAGCAGTGAGCCATATGGCGTTTGTGTTGCAAGAACAAACAGATGAGAAAGCATTTCCTCCCCCGGCCTGGACTAAACCATCTTAAGCAGGAAGTAGAAGACAGTTTGAGTTTGATTGCTCTTATTGGACTCTGTGCTGAATGGAGTTGGCCTCCACTAGCAGGGCCACAACATGGACATCAGAGAAAATGTCCCTTTCTGCTTAATCATGTTTAGTCCATAGGCTGTAGTATTCTGATTTAGCCATCCATCTTTCTAAATGTGTTTCAAAGTTGAATGGTTAAAAACTATGGAGGGAGGGAAGCAACAAAGACATTGTGCTGAACAACAACTATTTATTGTTGAACCAAAAGTATACTCAGTGAGTAGTATGCATGCAAACACCCCAAAATGTGAACAACCACATTCAGTGGGTGTTTGTGAAACAGGAAAAGAGGAAGCAGACGAATATTAATAGAAAATTAATTAATAAACATGCTGAACAAATTCAAATACAGCAAAATCATGGCTGCAATAGTGCACAGTACATTTATTTTGAATTTCGACTGCTCCCTCCCTTCTATTAGCTGTATGATGAATTAACCAACATTTCAGTGTCACTGTATACACATGTAATGCCATCAAATTCATCAAAACATTTGTGTTATTGCAATTTTGTATTACTGTCCGCTTTGGTCATTGGTGGTAATGTACGTTAAATGTGTTTTAACTGTAAGTCAACCAATGAGAAAATGAAATTAAAGTATGCAATTTCTGCCACAATTATATTTGGACTGTTTCAGTTACCTGCAGCACTACCTCCAGGGCCGGTCCTTGTCATTCTGCCGTCCTAGTCGAGACCAAAAAATGCCCCCCACCCCTCACGTATTTTCCAGAGGTTGAACTTCGGTTCAATTTAGGTTCTGAATGAAAGCTGAAATTGTATTTTCCATATGTTTAAAATACATATTTTCCAGGACATTGAAAAGGCGTCTTTTCCGGATGTTGAAAAATACGTATTTTCCAGACATTGAAATAAGGTTAATTTTCGGTTCTGAATGAAAGTAGAAAATACTTATTTTCCGGATGTTGAAAATACATATTTTCCAGACATTGAAAATATGTATTTTCCGGATGTTGAAATCAGCCTCATTTTTGGTTCTGAATGAAAGTTGAAAATAAGTAATTTATAGACGTCTATGTTTGGGCCAAATCAAGGCTGATCCAGACCGGACAAAATCGGAACCAAACATAGCCGTCTATAAATTACTTATTTGGACCAAAAACCAATGTCAGTGGAAATCAAGGCCGGACCATACTGCACCAAAAAAAGACGTCCAAAAGGCATCGGCATCGGTCCGTGCTTACAAATGCAATTTTATGAATGCCCATCTGTGGTAAGCCTACCGTTTTGTAAAACACAAAAAAAATATGTCCAAAAGACGTTGGCTCGTGCTTACTGGGGTGTAGCCTGCCATGTCGGCCTGTTGTAGGCCCACGGTTTGTAAAACAGGCCGTTGCATTGGCTTTATTAGTCCAGATTCCTGTGACTAATCAATTTGGCTATTTAAGCTCTGAATATCAGCTACCGAACTTTATCAGGAGTTATCGTGAGCCTATTTGCAACTGAGTTCTACAGTTTGAACCCCTGCTGTCTCTGGCTCCACACCCACCCCGCCCAGCCATCTAGATGTGTGAAAGTTAGTGTATAAGCTAATGATCCATCATGTATGACATTCATTTCACATTTCCACAAACTTCAAAGTGTTTCCTTTCAAATGGTATCAAGAAAATGCATATCCTTGCTTCAGGTCCTGAGCTATAGGCAGTTCGATTTACATATGTCATTTTAGGCGAAAATTGAAAAACAGGGTCCGAACCTTTTTTTATTTGATTGAGCGACATTTACGTTAGGCTATTTGATTGGAGAAACCTGCATGGTGTAAAAAGTGTCAATCTCATTACATTGTCATACATTTTATATCCAGCCTGTTGGCTTAAGAAAAGTCCACATACCCTTTCTACCATATCCTATATCTGCTACATGATTTATGTTAGATTATTTTTTTGACGGAATGTTGGTGGAGCGCCGCAGCTCTCTCCAACAGCATCCTGGAGAGGCCCCTGCCTTTGACAAAGGGGGCACTGCTTATCACAGGGCGGCATCAGCGCTCACCTAAAAAGCCCATATGTGACTACCTCTTGGGTTCGACTTCAAACAATTTTATTTTGAAAGCAGAAAGTTCATAAAACTATTAAATTATTATGTTGACTTGAATCATGTTGATTTTAATATGATTTTTTAAAACATCAGACAGAGATATGGTTGAAATGAGTGGGCAGACAGAGAGAAGTAGTGATAGAGAGTATTGATGGGGCTGGGATGCACTCTGTGGATGATACATTATGTGCTGAAGGAGGCAGCATTACCTGATGGCAAAGACCAGCCTCTGGCATATGTTGATTTTAATATTTCGATGGAAATGTGTGATTTTAATCCATTCAAATGTATTGTCACGCTCGTTGACTGAAGACACGGACCAAGGCGCAGCGTGATAAGCGTACATACTTTTATTTAACGTACTTAACGACAAAAACAACAAACAAACGATACGTGAAGTCCTGAGGTTATAACACAACAAACCTTTACGGATCAAGATCCCACAAAGACTAGTGCAAAACAGGCTGCCTAAGTATGGTCCACAATCAGAGACAACGAGCTACAGCTGCCTCTGATTGGGAACCACCCTGGCCAACATAGATCAAACGATCTAGAACAAAAACATAGAAAAACTAAACATAGCAAATCCACACCCTGGCTCAACATTTAAGAGTCCCCAGAGCCAGGGCGTGACAGTACCCCCCCCCCCCCCCCCCACCAAAGGCGCGGACTGCGACCGCGCCACACAAACACAAGAGGGTAGGGGCTGGGTGGGCATTCCGCCTCGGAGGCGGTTCCGGCTCCGGGCGTGACCACCACTCTCTCTCCACCCCCCCGTTGCGCCCCTGATCTGGTCTGGCCCCGCTGGCCGGAGCTGGACTGGACACCGGTGGAGCGGATTGCTCTGGCTCCGGAGTGGATCCGCTGACTGGAGTTGGACCGGACCCCGGTGGAGCGGATTGCTCTGGTTCCGGAGTGGAGCAGCTGACCGTTGCCGGACCAGGCACCGGTGGAACAGGCACGGGCCGTGCCGGACTGGACACACGCACCACTGGCTTGGTGTGGGGAGCAGGAACGGGCCGGACCGGGCTGACGACGCGCACCACTGGCTTGGTGCGGGGAGCAGGAACGGGCCGGACCGGGCTGATGACGCGCACCATTGGCTTGGTGCGGGGAGCAGGAACAGGCCGGACCGGGCTGACGACGCGCACCACTGGCTTGGTGCGGGGAGCAGGAACGGGCCGGACCGGGCTGACGACGCGCACCACTGGCTTGGTGCGGGGAGCAGGAACAGGCCGGACCGGGCTGACGACACGCACCACTGGCTTGGTGCGGGGAGCAGGAACAGGCCGGGCTGGACTGGGAACACGCACCATTGGCTTGGTGCGGGGAGCAGGAACAGGCCGGGCTGGACTGGGAACACACACCATTGGCTTGGTGCGGGTAGCCGGAACGGGCCGGGCCGGACTGTGGAGGCTTACTGGAGGTCTGGAGCGGAGAGCTGACACAACCCGTCCTGGCTGAATGCCTATTTCCACACAATATGTGTGAGGCATCAGCACAGGACGTACAGGGCTGTGCACTCGTACTGGCGCTACAGCACGTGGCACTGGCGCAGGATATACGGGACGGAGGAGGGGTACTGGAGGCCACGAGCATTGAGCCGGCACACCCCGTCCTGGCTGCATGCCCACCTTAGCACGACACGTGCGTGGTGCTAGCACAGGACGTACAGGACTGTGCCGGAACACTCGCGGCACAGTACGTGGCTCCGCCAACCACCCTTTTAGCCCCCCCAACATTTTTTATTGGGGCTGTCTCTCGGGCTTCCTCCCCGGCCGGTACCCTCTGCGTTGCCGCTGCTCCTCTCTGTAGCGCGCCTCCACAGTCTCCTCTCCTGCCTGGGCATTCACCTTTGCCCATGGCCCTTTCCCCGCGAATATCTCCTCCCAAGACCACCATTTGCCCACCTGCGACATCGCCATCTTCTCCTCCTGGGCACGCTGCTTGGTCCTCTTATGGTGGGATCTTCTGTCACGCTCGTTGACTGAAGACACGGACCAAGGCGCAGTGTGATAAGCGTACATACTTTTATTTAACGTACTTAACGACAAAAACAACAAACAAACGATACGTGAAGTCCTGAGGTTATAACACAACAAACCTTTACGGATCAAGATCCCACAAAGACTAGTGCAAAACAGGCTGCCTAAGTATTGTCCCCGATCAGAGACAACGAGCTACAGCTGCCTCTGATTGGGAACCACCCTGGCCAACATAGATCAAACGATCTAGAACAAAAACATAGAAAAACTAAACATAGCAAATCCACACCCTGGCTCAACATTTAAGAGTCCCCAGAGCC